GTCTGGCTAGAAGTATGAACAAACATGGTAACAGAGAGACTGTGGAATATAAGAGCACAGATATTGGTAGCTGGGTGAAGCATTAATGGGAACTTGTACAAGTCCTCTTCAGAGTGCTTCACTTTTTTCAGTAAAAGGGGAAACCAAGGCATCATCTGGGAGTGATGATGAAGAAGATACTGGAGGTTTGAAGAAATAGAAGAAATCATGAAAAAATCACCTAGGAGAGCAGAAGAGAAAATGGATGAAGAAAATAAAGTATGCTTGCATTAAGAGAGTCACTTGAAGCTACTGATAAAGAATTTAAAGTGAGACCAATTATCACGGCTGTGTATTTTCCTCAGTTTTCCCAACCATATTGAACTATCCAGGTACAGACACATAGCAGAAAGAAAATTTTACTTAAGTAGAGTTATAGTTTCATCAGGAAAATATGATGAAGCAAGAGAGGCATGGGAGTTGATGATGTATGCCAGAGAGTGATTATAATGATTTATCACAGAATTTAAGGCAGATAAAGAGGAAATAAAAGAAATGAAGAGATGAAGAGCAGTGTAAATCTGATAGAATTGATGCTCACTAGGTCTAGTTGGGGTCTAGGAACGTTGGAGTTGGGATATAAAAGGTTGTGACTCAAAAGATAGGAGGCCAGAGTCAGAGAGTTGAACTTTTGAAATTGAATTTATGGTGGAATTATGGCTATTGGAAAGAGAAAGGTCAAGGGAATGAGCATGGAATTAAGGCTGAGGTAGAGAGGGAAGCAAAATCATTGGAGAGAAGAGGTCAAGGAATCAAAGGAGCCAAAGTATTGGAAAGTTTACCTGTGTGAATTGAAATCACTAAAAATTATGAAAGAAGTAATGTTAGAGAGAATGACAGTGATCCAGGATCTAAAATCTTGAAGGAATAAAAAAAAAAAGAGTTTTGGCGTAAAGATGACCACTACAAAGAGTGGCATTGGTATAATCTAACAATAAAAATTGTAAAGTGATGATTATTAGGGTAGAAGGAGGAATAATGATCTGGGAGCAGCAATTGTTAATAAGGAAGACATCTAGCCCATTCCAAATGTTTATGTTTACTCATTTAGTTGCTCAACAACATTTTTTAGGTATGTTGAGTGTGATAGACACTATGCTAAGTGTTTACATTCATTATCTTATTTTGATTTATGAAATAACATTCTGATGTAGGAACTATTATTATCTCCATTTTACAATTGAGAAAAATGCGGTTAAGTTATTTGTCCAGGTTATTCAGCTATTGTTTAATCTCTCTTATATTGTACTTCTTTCATTCCAAAGTAATATCAACTTAAGTTTCTTAATACTGAGGGATGACCACTTTTGGAAGGGTGGCAAGGGAAGCTCCTCAGACCTACTCCCTAGTGAAATAATAATAATTGGTGAAAATTATATACAAAAAAGTTTTAAACATCTGGAAGCTATTCAAGGGTTTTGAAGAAACATTTATTCAAGAAAATCCACTAAGAACAATAGATTTGTAGATTTGGTAAAAAAACAGTGAAAATCTGTGGCACTTGAGTCATGACCCGACCCCTTCTTGCCTCTGTCTGCAGCTCACCATGACAGTTGATTCACTCTGAGCAGGCGCAGGAAGATCCACTCTGAGCAGGTGTAAGAAAATAGGACTCCCACTCCCTCCACCCCAGTGAAGGGCTACGATATCTCCTTGAAAAGGGCAGGCCACCAGCATATCTCATTCCCTCCAGCTCCATGTTGCAGAGAAAATTCCAGATGAATGCATCTGAGAGGTCAAGGACTCCCTTTCTCCACCGAGCCCCCACTGGTAGGACAGAGGCTCTACCCCAGATATAGCAGACCAAGAATAATGGGTTCCTTTAACACTCCAGCTTACGTATAGGGAGGAGATTTCACATGAGGAGAGGCAAGTGGGGAACACAAGAGGCTACTTCCCCTGCTCAGTAACTTACTAAAGAAGCAGTGATGTCACTCTGAAGAAGTAGGCTACTGTCTCCAGCAGCAGTTTTAGAGCAGTGATTCAGAGACTTTTTCCCATGAGGAGAAGTAGGCCATAATATAGAGAGTTCTAAGGATCACCCAAAAAGGGAGAGACGTTCAAGCCTAAGGTTGCTCTCAAAAGTGATGGAGATTTTGGGGCTGGCCTGGTGGCATAGCAGTGAAGTGTGCATGTTCCGCTGTGGCGGCCCGGGGTTCGTAGGTTTGGATCCCGGGCGTGCACTGACGCACTGCTTGTCAAGCCATGCTGCGGCAGCATCCCATATAAAGTAGAGGAAGATGGGCACAGATGTTAGACCAGGGCCAATCTTCCTCAGCACAAAGAGGAAGATTGGCATCGGATGTTAGCTCAGGGCTGATCTTCCTAACAACAACAACAAAAAAGTGATGGAGATTTTGGTAGCAAGCAATAAGAAGAGTCTAGTAACTGCAAGAGAGCAATAAGCTAAATCATAGGATGGCCAGTTTATAAGAGAGAATCAAGGAAAGAGAAAACTAGGAAGTGCTCTCCTGGAGTCAAAATAGACCTCAAAGGTTGGCCTCAAAACTATCCTTGTATAGGGGTTCAAATTTAATTGGCCTATGTGGGCACTTATATTCCAGGGCATTGTCAAAAATTATAGCACAATTAGCTGGCAACTAATGCAGCCTAGTTTCTGGGCATGGCTAGGGAAAAGAAAGTCTAAGAGAGCCCTGATAAAACCACTGTCACCTTGGGGGCTGGCCTCATGGTGTTTAAGTTTAGTGCAATCTGCTTTGGCAGCCTGGGTTCAGTTTCCAGGCTTGGACCTACACGACTTGTAATGGCTATGCTGTGGCAGCAACCCACATACAGAATAGAGGAAGATTCACACAGATGTTAGCTCAGTGCAAATCCTCCTCAAGCAAAAAGAGGAAGAGTAGCAATAGACGTTAGCTCAGGGCGAATTTTCCTCAGAAAAAAAAAAAAAAACCACTGTCATCTCAGGACGACTGTGCACACACCCAACACTGCATCCACTGAAGAGTGACATCAGTGACTTCACACTGTGAGGAAATAGACTTTACTACAATAGTCCAGGAAATTCAACAAACAAATAAGCAAGTAAGCAACAACAATAAAGAGCCCTGAAGAGGTGTGAGATATAGTATCTAGAATTGCTACAATATATTACTGAAAATTATGAGACATGTGAAGAAATAGGAAAGTGTGACCTACACATCCAAACAAAAGCAGACAACAGAAACTGTATTTGAGAGGGTCTAGTTGTCAGACTTAACAAAGACTTCAACACAGCCATTATAAATATATTTAAAGAACTAAAGGAAATCATGCTTAAAGAAGTAAAGGAAGGCATAATGACAATGTCTCATCAAATAGAGAACATCAAGAAAGAGAAAGAAACCTAAAAAGAGCCAAATGGAAATTCTAGAGTTGACAAGTAAGATACTGAAATGAAGAATTCTCAAAAGAAGCTCAATCCTACATTTGAACCGGCAAAAGCATCAATTAACTTGAAGATAAATTAATATAAGTTATGCAATTCAAAGAACAGAGAGAAAAAAGAATGAAGAAATAAAAACACCAACATATACCAATATATGTGTAATAAGAATGCCAGGATGGAAGAGAGAAAAAGAAGCATAAAAATATTTTAAATAATAACTGATGAAAATTTCCCAAATTTGATGAAAATTATTAATCTACACATTAAAGAAGCTCAATTAACTCTAATTAAGTTAAACACAAAGATATCCACACCCAGACCTATTATAGTAAAAATATTGAAAGAAAAACACAAAGAGAACAATTTAAATCAACAAGAAAAAAATAACCACCCACATACAAAGGAACTCCAGAAGATGAACAGAAACAATGGAGGCCAGAAGGAAGTGAGATAACATTCATCTTATTTTTTCCCAAAATGAAGTTGAAATAAAGACATTGCCACACAAACAAAAACTGAGATAATTTGTTGCTAACAGACTCATCTTACAAGAAGTATTAAAGGGAGTTAGTTCTTCAGGCTGAAAGCAAGTACTACCAGACAGTAATTCAAACCTACACAAAAATCAAAGAGCAGTGGGAAGGCTAATTATGTAATAACAAATGACAGTATAAATGCATATTTCTTCTCTTTTCATCTCACAATTGATTTTAGAAGCAGCTGTATAAAAGAATTTGTATATAATTCCATTATAGGCCTATAACATATGGAACTGTAATATATTTAACCATAACAACACAGAGGAGGTGAGTGAGAGCAAAGCTGTATTGAAGGAAGAAAATGACACCAAATGGTAATTTGAATCCACAATAACAAATTAAGAGAAACTGAAATTTTAAATAAGGTTAATATAACATCTTTACAAATAGATATTTACTCTCCTTTTTTTATTCAGCTTCTTTATAAGACATAAAATTGTTTAAAATATTAATTATAAAAATGTATCACAGAATTTGTAAAAAAATATAAATATAAGATGTATAACACTAATAGCACAAAAAGGGAGAAGAGGGAAAAGAACTATTTAAAAGCGACATCACTATATCTCACTGGAATTAAGATAAATCTGCAGTAGACCCTGATATGTTAAGATGTATATGGTAATACCTAGAGCAACCACTAAGAAAACAACTTCAAAAAATAGAGTGAAAAAAATTATTACAAGAATTAAAATGTTACACTAGAAAATATTCACTTAAATTATGAGAAAAAAGTAAAGGACAGATAGAGGAACAAAAAGGAAACAAAATACAAAACAGAAAAGGAAACTAGCAGACATAGATCCAAACATATTAATAATAACATTAAACTGAATGAATTAAACAAAGCAATCAAAAGGTAGAGATTGTTAGACTGTGTTATAAAAAAGATTCAACTATATGCTGTCTACAAGAGATAAATTTTTAGATTCAGAAGTACAAATAGGTTGAATAAAAAAAGGATGACAAAAGATATATCACACAAATAGCAACTACAAGAAAGCTGGACTGGCTATATTAATATCAGACAAAACAAACTTTACAACAAAAATATTACTGAGAAGAGGTGGGATATTTCATAATTAAAGAATCAATCAATCAAGAAGATATAACAATTACAAACATATATGCACCTAATAACTGAGCTCCAAAATACATGAAGCAAAAACTAATAGAACCAAAGGGAGAAAAATACAGTTCACCAGTTGAGAGCTTCAATACCCCACTTTTAATCATAGATAGGACAACTAGGCAAAAAATCAACAAAGAAATGGAGGACTGTAACAACACTGTAAATCAAATAGACTTGCAGCCACATATAGAACACTCTACCTAATAACACCAGAATACACATTCCTCCCAAATGCACATGAAAAATTCTCAAAAATAGAACATACACTATGTCATAAAATAGGCATCAGTAAATTTAAAAGAATTGAAATCATACCAAGTATGTCTTCTGACCACAAGGGAATGAAATTAAAATCAATATCAGAAATAAATATGGGAAATTCCCAAAGATATGGAAATTAGACAACACCCTCCTAAATAACTAATAGGTCAAAGAATAATCAAAAAGAAAATTATAAAATGCTTTAAGATTAATTAAAATAAAGACACAACATACCAAAACTTATGGGATACAGTGAAAGCAGTTCTCAGAAGGAAATTTATAACTGTAAATGCCTATATTATAAGAGATAAACAAAATAGACAAACCTATAGTTAGACTCACCAATAAAAAAAGAGAGAAGACTCAAATAAATAAAATCATTAAGGAGGAGACCTTACAACTGATACCACAGAAATACAAAGGATCATAAGAGACTACTATGATCAATTGTATGACAACAAATTGGACAACCAAAAAGAGATGGAAAGATTCCTAGAAACATACAACCTATCAAGACTAAATCATAAAGAAATAGAAAATCCGAACAGAATGATTACTAGTAAGGAGATTGAATTAGTAGTCAGAAACATTCCAACAAACAAAAGTCCAGCACAAGATGGTTTCATTGGTGAATTCTACCAAACATCTAAAGAAGAACTAATATCAATCCTTCTCAAACTCTTCCAAGAAATAGAAGAGAAGGAAATACTTCCAAACTCATTTCATAAGGCCAGCATTATCCTGATACCAAAATCAGACAAAGACACTATGAGAAAAGAAAATTACGGGCCAATATCTCTGATAAACATAGATGCAAAAATCCTCAAGAAAATATTAGCAAACTGAACTCAACAAAAGATTAAAAGGATCATACACTATGATCAAGTTGAATTTATTCCAGGATGCAAGGATGCAAGGTTCAACATCCACAAATCAATCAATGTGATACACCACAGTAACAAAAAATCATAAAGTCATCTCAATAGATGCAGAAAAAGCATTTGACAAAATTCAGCATCCATTTATGATAAAAACTCTCAACAAAGTGCGTATGGAGGGAAAGTACTTCAACATAATAAAGGCCATATACAACAAGGCCACGGCCAATATTATACTCAACTGTGAAAAGCTGAAAGCTTTTCCTGTAAGATTAGAAACAAGACAAGGATGCCTACTCTCACCACTTTTATTCAACATAGCATTGGAAGTCCTGGCCAGAGCATTTAGGCAAGAAAAGGCATCCAAATCAGAAAGGAAGAAGTAAAAATGTCTATTTGCAGATAACATGGTATTATATGGAAAACTGTAAGACTCCACTAAAAAACAAAACAAATTCAGTAAAGTTGTAGGATATAAAAATCAACATACAAAAATCAGCTGCATAGGCAATAAGCTCCTTGACATTGGCCTTGGTGATGATATTTTGGCTTTGATACCAAAAGCAAAGGCAACAAAAGCAAAATTAAACGTGATGCTAGATAAAATTAAAAAGGGTCTGCATAGCAAAGGAAACCATCAACAAAATGAAAAGGCAACCTACTAAATGGGAGAAAATATTCACAAATCTTATATCTGATAAGGGGTTAATATCCCAAATATATAAAGAACTCATTCAACTCAATGGCAAAAAACAAACAATCCAATTAAAAAATGGACAGAGGATCTGAATAGACATTTTTCTAAAGAACACATACAGATGACCAATAGGTACATGAAAAGGCGCTTACCATAGTAATCATCAGGGAAATGCAGATCAAAACCACAATGAGATATCATCTCACACTTGTCAGAATGACTATTATCAAAAAACAAGAAATAACAAGTGTTGGTGAGGATGTGGAGAGAACGGAACACTTGTGGACTCTTGGTGGAAACGTCACTTGGTACAGCCGCTATGGAAAATTGTATAGAAGTTCCTCAAAAGTTAAAAACAGAACTACCATATAATCCAAAAATTCTACTTCTGGATACTTATCCAAAGGAGACAAAAACACTAACTCCAAAATATGTCTGCACCCCCACAATTATTTCAGCATTATTAACAATAGCCAAGACACAAAAACAACTTGTGCTCATTGATGAATGAATGGAGAAAGAAAGTGTCGTGTATGTATACAACGGAATATTATTCAGTCACAAAAAGAAGGAAATTCTCCCATTTGCAACAACATGGATGGACTTTGAGGGCATTATGCTAAGTAAATAAGTCAGACAGAGAAAGACAAATACCCATGTAATCTCACTTATATGTGGAATCTAAAAAACAAAAAATGAGCTCATAGATACAAAAAATAGATAGGTGGTTGCCAGAAGTAGGGGGTGGGAGAAATAGGTGAAAGTGGATAAAAGGTACAAAATTCCAGTTTTAAAATAAATAAGTCCTGGAATGTAATGTACAGCATGGAGACAATCGTTAATAACACTGTATTGTATATTTGCAAGTTGCTAAGAGTGTAAATCTTAAAAGTTCTCATCACAAGAAAAAAAATTGTAACTATGTGTGGTGATGGATGTTAACTAGACTTATTGTGGTGACCATTTTGTAATATATACATATATCAAATTATTATATTGTATACCTGAAACTAATATCAATTATATCTCAATTTTTTAAAAATAGCATAACTGGGCCTGAGTGTTGGCAACGGGAAAGAGAACTAATTCAAGAGACTTTTCATTGCTGGTGTTCATAGAATTGGGCAACTGATAGGAATATAAATATTAACTTATAGTCGTCCAATTGCAATATATAAATGCCTTTTAACAGTAAAAAAATTTAAAAATAAAAGAAGAAGAATCTCAAATCAATCAGCTAACTTTCCACCTTAAAACATTGGAAAAAGAAGAGCAAATAAAACCTAAAACAAGCAGAAGGGAAGAAATAATGAAGATTAGAATGTAACTTAATGAAACGAGAAATAGAAAAACAATAGAGAAAATCAATAAAATCAAAGTTGGTTCTTTGAAAAGATCAACAAAATTGATAAACCTTTAGTTGGACTGAACACAGGTATATAACAGAAAGGACATTGCTACTGACCTTACAGAAATAAAAGGATTATAAAGGAATCCTCTGAATAGTTACATGCCAACAAATTAGTTAACTCTGATGAAATGGAGAAAGAGAAAGAAAGTACTGAAACTTACTCAAGAAGAAATAGGAAATCTGTATAGCATTTAACAAGTAAAGAGATTGAATTAATATGTTGAGATTCCCCAAGACCACCCCAAGGATGGGTAATTCTCTAGAAGAATTCAGCACGTAATTATAGTCAGGGCTATGAGTTATTACGGTGAGAGGATACCAAGCATAATTAGCAAAGGGAAAAGGTGCATGGGGCAAGGCCCTGGGCAAACAAGGCACAAGCTTCCAACGGTCATCTCTCACTGGGATCATACAAGATATGCTTAATTCCTCCAGTAAAAAGTTGTGACAACTCGTGTAAAATGTTGCTCATGAGACTCAGCATCCTGGGGCTGGTCATGTAGACAGCCTCTGCCTAGTATGTACCAAAATTCTAGACTCCCAGAACGTGTTCGACATAAACCGCATTGTTTTTTACAAATAGGTAAGGCACAGTGAGCCACACTTATCAATTCTGTAACGGTGGGAACCCTCCCCAAATCCAAGCTCCCAGACACCAACCAACTTTAAACTTGCTTTTCTAAGGACCTTAGGCCTACTACGTTAACCATCTTCTGCACAATTAGAATATATAAAACTTTTCACAAAGCCAAGACTCAATTTTTTTCACTGATGAATTCTACCAAAAATTAAAAAAAAAAGCATTGATAACAAATTTTCACAAACTCTTCCAGAAAAAGAGGAGGGAATACATACCAACTCCTCATACAAGGCCAGTATTACCCTAATACCAAAACTGGAAAACACATCATAAGAACAGAAAACTACCAACTAATTCTCTAGTAAATATATATGCAAAAATTCTCCAAAAAATACAGTTAAACCTTATTATTCACAGAAGTTATGTTCTATAAAGACACTGAGAATGATGAATTAGTGAATATTGCTGGACCATTGCTCATAAGAGAAATATAGGGTTAGGTTCGTGAGATCCTCTGGTCACAACATTTATCAACTGATCAATAATAGCTTTGTTTTATGTGTGTTTCTGTTTAAAAGCACTTTGTTTAATATATATATTGCTGATTCATTAACATTGAACTCATGGCCAATGGCACTATAACTCATTCCGGAACAAAGCTGATCTAACAAACATATTCTCTGTGTACAGCACATCACAGCCTTCTTGCACTCAGAAATGCTAGACAAGCCTTCAGAACAAATTTTGGGGGCCATTTTAAACACTAAAATCATCAACGAAAGGAACAAATATGTGGAAAATGTGACACTAAATAGACCACAAAAAGGACACTTGTTTACAGTACGAGAGCTGAAACAAGAAAGCAAAACATTGCCTTTTCCAACTTCAGCTGGGAATGTACTCATCAGGTAACTCAAAATTTTCACTGTCTGTGCATGCTCACAAGTGACCAAGAAAGTGCTACACATATTGATTTGGGGACTACAAGTACATTTTAGTGAATTCACAAATATGAAAACTGCAAATAATGAGGACTGATTGTACTAGCAAACAGATTCCAGCAACATATAATAAGGATTATACAACATGACCAAGTGGAATTTATCTCAGGAATGTAAGTTGGTTTAACATCCAAAAATCAATTAATATAATACACCATATCAATAGAAAATAACACAAAAAACACATTTTCATCTCAATAGCTTCAGAAAAATCATTTGACAAAACCCAATATCCATTCATGATAAAAACACTCAATACACTAGAAATAGAAGGCAGCTTCCTCAACCTGATAAAAGGCATCTATAAGAAGCTAACCTTATACTTAATGGTAAAATACTAAATGATTAGCCCTAAGTTCAGCAGCAAAAAAGTATGTCCTCTTTCACCACATTTATTCCACATCATACTACAGTTTCTAGCAAGGACAATTAGGCAAGAAATGAAAGAAAAGTCATCCAGATTGGAAAGGAGAAGGTAAGAGTAACTTTTTTACAGATGACATGATCTTGTATACAGAAAATCCTAAAGAATCAAAGAAAAAAACTATTAGAACTAATAAATGAATTCAGCATATTTGTAGAGTTCAAATCAATATACAAAAATCATTTATATTTCTATGCACTAGAAATGAACAATTTAGACATGAAATTAAGAAGAACAATTCCACTTATTATGGCATCAAAAGAAATGATATTCTTAGGAATAAAATTTCAAAATAAGGGCAAAACTTATACTCTGAAAACTACAAAACATTGTTGAAAGAAACTGAAGAAGATCTAAATAAATTCAAACACACCCTGAATCCATGGAGCAGAAGACTTAATACTGGTAAAATCTTCAAATACTGTAGATCTTCAAATTGATCTACAGATTCAACACAATCCATCTAAAATACCTGCAGGATTCTTTTCAGAAATTGACAAGCTGATCTTAAAATTCATAGAAAAATTTATAACATCCCAAATAGGCAAAAATCTTGAAATGGAAGAAAAATGTTGGAAGACTCACACTTCCCGATTTCAACATTTACTACAAAGCTATAAGTTGTCAAGACAGTGTGGTACTGGAACAAGGATAGACATAAAGATCAATGGAACAGAGTTGAGAGTCCAGGAATAACTCTCACTTAACAGTTAATTAATTTTGGGGCCGGCCCTGTGGCTTGGTGGTTAAGTGCGCGCGCTGCGATGCTGGTGGCCCGGGTTTGGATCCCGGGTGCGCATCGAGGCACCACTTCTCCGTTCATCCTGAGGCCGAGTCCCGCATACAGCAACTAGAAGGATGTGCAGCTACGACATACGACTGTCCACTGGGGCTTTGGGGGGAAAAATAAAATAAATAAAATCTTTAAAAAAAAAAAAAAAAAAACAGTTAATTAATTTTGCACAAAAGTATCAAGACAATGCAATTGTAGAAGAATAGTCTTTTTTGCAAATGGTGTTGAGATAATTAGATATGCACATGCAAAATAATAAAGCTATACCACTTCATCACACCATACATAAAAAAATAGACTCAAAATGGATCATAAACCTCAATGTAAGAGTTAAAATTATACAATTCTTAGAAGAAAATATAGAAGGAATTTTCATGAACTTGGGTAATTCAAAGCCTTCTTAGGTATGACACTAAAGCAAAAATAAGAAGAGAAAAAATAAACTGGCTTCATCAAAATTAAAAACTTTCATGTTTCAAAGGATATCATCAGAAAATGAAAAGGCAGTTCATAGAACAGGAGAACACACTCACGTACATACATCTGATGAGAGATTTGTATCTAGAATATATAAAGAAATTTACAACTCAATAATAAAAAGACAAATACAATTTTAAAATGGGCAAAGGATATGAATATATATTTTTCCAAGAAAGACATACAAATGACCAATAAACACAATAAAAGTTGTTCAACATCATTAGTCATTAGGGAAATACAGATCAAGGTCACAATGAGATAGCTCTTCACACACACTAAGATGGCTAAAATAAAAAGGACAGATTATAACAAACATCGGCAAGGGTATAAAAAACTGGAACTCTTGTACACTGGTGGGTGGAATGTATAATGACGCATCCAACTTTAGGAAACAGGCTGACAGTTCCTCAAAATATTCCTCTAAACATAGAGTTATCATATGACCTACCATTTCAACTCCTAGGTATACACCAAGAGAAATAAAAATGTACGTCCATGCAACAACTTGTACACAGATGTTCATAACATTATGAACTCCCAATTATTCATGATAGCCAAGAAGTGGAAACAATCCAAACATCTATCAACTGATGAGTGGACAAACAAATGTGAAATAGCCATACAACGGAATATTATTTGGCAATAAAAATGACTGAAATACGGATTCATTCTACAAGATGGACAAACACTGAAAATGTTAAGCTAAGTGAAGAAAGTCAGTCACCAAAAAAACCCATACTGTATGATCTCATTTATGTGAGATGTGCAGAATACACAAATCTGTAG